ACATCACATCTATTTCGTAACTGCGCCACCTATTGTTCGAAAGTGATAACCCATTAAATCATCTTATAAGTTAATGTTTATGTGATTTTCTTAGCCATTTGCCCAAAGTTCTCTCAAAATGCCCTTAATTGCTCCTTGCTGCAGTTGGTCTGCCACTCCTTGCCATTTTGGCATATGTTGCCGCTTCTTGCGCTTGGCCCCGGTAATGGCTGCTTGCAGCTATATTTATTATTATTCTTCTTCCGTTTCCGACTTGGCGTCTATGGCAGCCCATAGACCGGTTTGCGGGAAAGTTGTTTTGGTTTGACATTCTGATAGAGGACAGTCCCATCTTTAAATACACCAATTTTGGTGTCTCTAACGCATTCCCTCTAGCGCCACCAACTGTCCAAAGTTTCACTTTTATTATGCTAATAACTTTTGAACCGTAAGGCCTATCAACAAAATTCTTTTTTCCTCTTGTTCCTGAGCTCATGCCGATTCGATCGCACCCTATGACGTCATTTTCCGTCATAAAAAAACGGCCGCCATTTTGAATTTTCTAAAAAACCTACTTTTGCGAACTCGTCCTAGACGGTTTGTCCGATTTTCACCAAAATCGCACCGGATCATCTCCAGGCAGTGCTGACAAAAAGTTATGGAATTCATGATGATTCGAATAACCGTTTTCGATAAGCGTGCAAACTAAATTTACGTAGCGCTTGCGAAAAACAGACGTGAGGCTGTATCTCCGCAACGCTTACTCGTTTTCAGACCAAACTTTGTACGTGTCATCACAAGCATGACCTGAGGCTACGTGCTGCGTTTCGGCGCAGCGCCACCTAGTGGTCCGGAGATATGAAAAATGGCTATTTTTGCTCGTAACTTCTGAACGGTTTGTCCAAAAATCATAAACTTCATCTCGTTAGATTCAGGGCATCATGCCGAGTCAACTGATATCCAATTTTCCCAGATCGGCCATTTTGGCTGTCGGCCATTTTGAATTATGTGCTAAAATGCTGTATTTTTTGAACGCATGAACGAATTGTTACGAAACTCGGTATGGGTCATCAGTACGATGCCCTGAAGAAGCCTGAGAAGTTTCGAAACAGCGCCACCTAGTGGTGAATTGTTTTTTTCAAGCGCTTATAACTTTGGGTGTGGTACACTTATTTTCACGGGAGTCATCTTTTTGAGTTCCTGAATCATTGCCGAGTCCAACGATACTAAACATGCTGGGTTTCGTGTTACGGTTGGTGTAGCGTAGCGATTTAGCGCGAAAAAAACACTTGGCGATATCTTCAAAACCGCTGTTCCGATCGAGACGAAACCAGCGCCAGAAACACGGAATCATAGCTTGTTAACTATATGTAAATGCCCAAATGCGAAAATATTGATAGTAAGGGGTAGTAAAATTCAAAGAAAGTCATGTGTCAGTCATTTTTTACGTGTTTTTTCATATAAATGTTTATAACTCGGAAGTGAATTGAGATATTTGCACCAAAATTGACACACATATGTATGGGGTCACTCTGAGGACACATAAAAAAAATTGTGGGACTGAGCCTCTTGGTGGCGCTATAATAGAACAAAACGTGAAATTCCCATTGACTTCAATAGAGTTTTGTGAAATAAAATGCTATACTAAATAAATGCATTGGTGAAATATTACAAAACTCAGTGTGTGCCATAAGCAGCATGCCCTGAAGGTACTCAAAAGATTTTGAGACAGCGCCACCTGTTGGTCAAACGTTATAATTAATTTCTGAGAACGCTAATAACTTTTGAATAAATTTGCCTATTGCAATGAAACTGATCTTAATATATTCCTTGGGTTATGCTGAAAACATAGATATCAGGTTTTGCATGATCAGGAAAACTTCCTGTCCGCCATCTTTATTTCTTTGAAAAACCTTCTTTTTCGAACTCCTCCTAGACCGTTTGTCCGATTTTCACGAAAATGGAATCGTATCATCTCCAGACCGTGCCGGCTAAAAGTTATGAATTGCACGATGATAGACAAAACCGTTTTCGTATACCACAGCATCAAAGTTTAGGCATGCTGCCAAAATTACTATTTAGGCTTTTTCTCTGCATTGCCTTCACATTTTGACACCAAACTTTGCATGTGTCATTGTCACCTCCCTCTGACCACATCACATCTATTTCGTAACTGCGCCACCTATTGTTCGAAAGTGATAACCCATTAAATCATCTTATAAGTTAATGTTTATGTGATTTTCTTAGCCATTTGCCCAAAGTTCTCTCAAAATGCCCTTAATTGCTCCTTGCTGCAGTTGGTCTGCCACTCCTTGCCATTTTGGCATATGTTGCCGCTTCTTGCGCTTGGCCCCGGTAATGGCTGCTTGCAGCTATATTTATTATTATTATTCTTCTTCCGACTGGGCGTCTATGGCAGCCCATAGACCGGTTTGCGGGAAAGTTGTTTTGGTTTGACATTCTGATAGAGGACAGTCCCAACTTTAAATACACCAATTTTGGTGTCTCTAACTCATTCCCTCTAGCGCCACCAACTGTCCAAAGTTTCACTTTTATTATGCTAATAACTTTTGAACCGTAAGGCCTATCAACAAAATTCTTTTTTCCTCTTGTTCCTGAGCTCATGCCGATTCGATTGCACCCTATGACGTCATTTTCCGTCATAAAAAAACGGCCGCCATTTTGAATTTTCCAAAAAACCTACTTTTGCGAACTCGTCCTAGACGGTTTGTCCGATTTTCACCAAAATCGCACCGGATCATCTCCAGGCAGTGCTGACAAAAAGTTATGGAATTCAAGATGATTCGAATAACCGTTTTTGATAAACGCGTAAACAAAATTTACGTAGCGCTTGCGAAAACAGACGTGAGGTTGTATCTCCGCAACGCTTACTCGTTTTCACACCAAACTTGGTACGTGTTATCACAAGCATGACCTGAGGCTACGTGCTGCGTTTCGGCGCAGCGCCACCTAGTGGTCCAGAGATATGAAAAATGGCTATTTTTGCTCGTAACTTCTGAACGGTTTCTCCAAAAATCAAAAACTTGGTCTCGTTAGATTCAGGGCGTCATGCCGAGTCGACCGATATCCAATTTCCCCAGATCGGCCATTTTGGCTGTCGGCCATTTTGAATTATGTGCTAAAATGCTGTATTTTTTGAACGCATGAACGAATTGTTACGAAACTCGTTATGGGTCATCAGTACGATGCCCTGAAGGAGCCTGAGAAGTTTCGAAACAGCGCCACCTAGTGGTGAATTGTTTTATTCAAACGCTTATAACTTTGGGTGTGGTACACTTATTTTCACGGGAGTCATATTTTTGAGGTCCTGAATCGTTGCCGAGTCCAACGATACCAAATATGTCGGGTTTCGTCTCACGGATGGCGTAGCGTAGCGATTTAGCGCGAAAAAAACACTTGGCGATATCTTCAAAACCGCTGTTCCGATCGAGACGAAACCACCGCCAGAAACACGGAATCATAGCTTGTTAACTATACACTAATGCCCAAATGCGTAAATATTGATAGTAAGGGGTAGTAAAATTCAAACAAAGTCATGTGTCAGTCATTTTTTACGTGTTTTTTCATATAAATGTTTATAACTCGGAAGTAAATTGAGATATTTGCACCAAAATTGACACACATATGTATGGGGTCACTCTGAGGACACATAAAAAAAATTGTGGGACTGAGCCTCTTGGTGGCGCTATAATAGAACAAAACGTGAAATTCCCATTGACTTCAATACAGTTTTGTGAAATACAATGTTATACTAAACAAATGCTTTGGTCTAACATTTTGAAACTCAGTGTGTGCCATAAGCAGCATGCCCTGAAGGTACTCAAAAGATTTTGAGACAGCGCCACCTGTTGGTCAAAAGTTATAATTAATTTCTGAGAACGCTAATAACTTTTGAATAAATTTGCCTATTGCAATGAAACTGATCTTAATAGATTCCTTGGGTTATGCCAAAAACATAGATATCAGGTTTTGCATAATCAGCCAAACTTCCTGTCCGCCATCTTTATTTCTTTGAAAAGCCTTCTTTTTCGAACTCCTCCTAGACCGTTTGTCCGATTTTCACGAAAATTTAATCGCATCATCTCCAGACCGTGCCGACTAAAAGTTATGAATTGCACGATGATAGACAAAACCGTTTTCGTATACCACAGCATCAAAGTTTAGGCATGCTGCCAAAATTACTATTTAGGCTTTATCTCTGCAATGCCTTCACATTTTTACACCAAACTTTGCATGTGTCATTGTCACCTCCCTCTGACCACATCACATCTATTTCGTAACTGCGCCACCTATTGTTCGAAAGTGATAACCCATTAAATCATCTTATAAGTTAATGTTTATGTGATTTTTTTAGCCATTTGCCCAAAGTTCTCTCAAAATGCCCTTAATTGCTCCTTGCTGCAGTTGGTCTGCCACTCCTTGCCATTTTGGCATATGTTGCCGCTTCTTGCGCTTGGCCCCGGTAATGGCTGCTTGCAGCTATATTTTCTTACTTTTTTAGTGTGTATATATATATATATATTTGATTTTGCTTTAATATATTTTTATTTTAGTTTTTGTGAGTTTAGTACTTCAAGTTAAACTTATTTTAAGTCATTTGATATTCAATTGAAATTTTTATTTCGGTTTTATTTACATTTGTTTTAGTTCACATTCACAATAACAACCGCACTGCAACCGCTCTGGCATGTTTTTGTCGTGTTTATTAGTTTTTGTTTTGTATTTCTATTTATCTTTTAATGTTCTTTTTTTTTTTTTTTAGTTTTTTTGTATTTTAGTACTTCATACTTCTAACTTTACAAAAAGAATTTTAATCTAAAATGTTCATTTTATCTTAGTATTTGTAAACACTGACCAGTAGTACTTGAACTCCCAACTGTTATTTTACCCAGAAAGCCAACAAACAGCAGGCCATTTGATCTGGACACAAAATGACCTCCAAGTTTATATGGATTGATGTGTATTTGCAAGTTTTTAACTTTTTTTGTTTGTTCTTTCAGTTGTTTGACGGTCACTTTGACACCAACATTGGCGCCAAAGTAGACAGTAAAAGCTACGAGAACATCGCCGAGAGGATCGGATGCCAGCCAGAGGAAATCATGTTCTTAACGGATGTCACAAGAGGTGGGCGCTCTGAAACCTTTCATTCCTGCCGTAATGGCTTCAGTTAAACACAGACTCATTCACACATCTCCTCCTCCACAGAGGCGAAAGCAGCCGAGGACGCCGGGGTGAACGTGGTTGTCGTCGTCAGACCTGGAAACATGGAGTTAACCGAAGAGGAAAGGAAACATTATACAGTCGTCACGTCTTTCAACCAGTTAGAACTGAGCGACAATATTTGACATCGGATCATGTTGGAATAACCAGTGGTCACGATCCGCTGGACTGAAACTCCAGGAATCCAGGTGCTTGTTTTTTTTACACTGAAACCCATCGTAGAATTATAATACACTTACATTCTCTTTGAATGTTTTATGTGCTGCGTTAATGTCTGTCTCCCCACACACTCATTATAACCTGCCACCTGGACACAGGTTTAGTGTGACTGTACCTCATGTCAAGCGCAGTCGGATAAACCTCAATATTAAATGTTGTTGTAAAATTTTATTCCAAACGGACACATCGAACAAATCACATGTGCAACATTTAGATACACCAGCAGCCATGTCTGTTTTAGGAACAAAATACAGGATTATTACCAGTGCCATAGATGTGTCACAATATTTAACACCAAGTTGGCCTATAAAATGCTGCATTTTTTTTCAGGACCGGCTCGAAACGAATGCGGTTATGTGAATACAAAACATCTATGATTGCATTTGATTTGGAATTCCTTCTTCATGTTAAACTAATAGTAGAGATGCACGATATATCGGCCACCATATTGTCGCCATCAGCCGATATATGTTCATATTTAATGTTATCGGCCCAGAAAGACAATGTAGCTGATATATTAAAGCTGATAAATAATGGATTATTTCCTTCAGATGTTCATCATTAAGCGTTTGAATTGCTTGAAATACGTTTGAAATCACTTCAAAATGGAAAATACAGTAAAATGTGCCATATCGGCTACATAACATTATTATGAGGACATTATAATTGTGTGTTTGGGACATGGCTTTTAATGCTGAGACTTTAGTTTTGTAATCAGGCGCTCAATAATTATATACAAATTTGGATTCAGATTTATCGGCCAATATATCGGTTATCAAATGTAAAGAATTATTGATAACGGCCCAAATTTTCATATCGGTGCATCACGAAAGTAATAGTTCCACATCTATTCCCAAACCTGTGTCCTGCGTGAAGATTCCTCAGAAGTGCGTCTGTCTTCCACAGCATACAGATTTGAAGCGACAAACGAATTGGTGAATATTAAGAGTCTTCATAATAACCTGCATCAAGAAAGTCTTAATTGCTGTATGTCGAAGGATCTTGCCAAAAAACCTCCATCCGTTCTTCTTGAAAGTGTCCTCTGACACACACTAGGATTCAATGTGATGTGTTCCATGTTTATGTCATGAACTTGTTGCCTATCTACTATTCAGCAAACACTCATCCAGAGGTTTTTCTGGAGAGATTGCGCTGGGCTCACATGCATGACTGGTGAACACTGGGAGCCTGTGAGCCTATAGCTGGTCAGACTGGTACTCTGAGACCTCAGAGAAGCTCTCGGACAGGCTAAGCGGAGGCTCACGCTCGTCACTGCAGACGATCTCGAAGCGGTAGTGGCGAAACTCAATGGCGAACGTGCTCAGGTACGTCAGGAAGAACATGACCAGCGCCCACTGGGCCCGGGCCGCGTGCATGTGGAGCCGCTGAGCCATCAGAGCGAAATCTGGCAGCTGTGGTCAAGGCTGACATGTGGAGAACCAATCACACCTGGGCATGAGGACGGCTGAGCAGGGCTGGGTGATCTATCAAACACTGGGCGAATGCGGGACACACCCGGGGAAGGGAGCAATGAAAGACCAGCTGATTTCCTCATTATCTTCTCTTGAGACGTTTTCATGATCTCGCCGTCTCTTGTTTGGACACAGCAAGTCAACATTAGCTAACTGATCTACTATTAAACTCGTTTCTTACTCATGAAACCTGTTTGAGCTCCATATGAAATGTATGACTGATGTGTGTGATATATCACTAACAAAACCAATCAAATTGAATTATTCTGTTTGTACGTTAACTCGAGCTCTTCCAACGTCTTGCTTTAAAATTAATCACAAGGATTGGTAACACTAAATTTTAAGGTGACGTAGTTGCGTGTTACTACATGTAATTATGCATAATTTTCCTGTTATTTCTACAAGTTAAGGCTAGTTAATTAATATTACTCGGTACTTATTTTAGTAAATGCAGTAAATTAGGCATAATCACAAGTAGTGTAACTCTATAGTAAGTACATGTAGTTAATTGTACTTACTTATGTAAGTACTAAGTAATATTAATGTAACTACGTCACCTTAAAATAAAGTGTTAGGATCACATGACCATTATGTAAGATGGTGCCGTGTTCATGTCATGTCTCGAGATGACAACACGCACAGACTGATCTCATGAAGTAGCGTGTGTATGACACGCCAATTCGTATTTCCATTTTTGGCGTGCTATCAAGACGCATAATCGCTTTTCGGCGTGTTTATGAACGCCGTTGACTTAACGTTACATGAATGTATATATAAAAATATGACTTACCTCAACCCCGTCCCTAAACCTAACCGTCACTGGGGTTAATAGCATTTATGAGTGTTCCCTTACCATCCTAGGAAAAAAAAAGATCGCTCCCCAGATGTAGATCTACATTTTGCTTCATTTCGCGCGGACATTTGACGGCGTAGACATACACGTGGAATCACTCGGACGTTAATGGCGTAGACATACACGCATTCACGCGGATACACGCAGATAGCTCAAAATGCGTAGAGATAACACGCCACTTGACTCGAAAGTGGCGTGTGTATGTTTACGCAAAAGTCATGATGTCATGTTGCGATTTTAGATGTAGTGACAGTCTGAGGATGTTACAGCTCTGATAATGTTGCGTGTCAACATGACATCATGACTTTTGCGTAAACATACACGGCACTTTCGAGTCAAGTGGTGTGTTATCTCTACGCATTTTGAGCTATCCTCGTGTATCCGCGTGAATGCGTGCATGTCTACGCCATTAACGTCCGAGTGATTCCACGTATCTGTACACGCCGTCAAATGTCCGTGCGAAACGAAGTAAAATGTAGATCTACATCTGGGGAGCGATATTTTTGCCATTAACCCCAGTGACGGGTAGGTTTAGGGACGGGGTTGAGGTAAGTCATATATTTATATATACAGTAATAACGTTAAGTCAATGGCGTTCATAAACACGCTGAAAAGCGATTATGCGTCTTGATAGCACGCCAATAATGGAAATAACGAATTGGCGTGTCATACACACGCTACTTCATGAGATCAGTCTGAAAATCGAATACATCCCTACTAATATAGTATGCGAAAAACAGTGGGTTAAGAGTCCCCAGTGAGATTGTGAAGTGTGCTCACGGTGGTCACTTTACTATCCCATGAGGCCACAGGAGAGGGGGTGTGTGAATGATGGGGAAGCGACGCATGACTGGCGCTGGTTAGTACGTCCAGGTTACATTCATACCACCCATTATCATACTAGATAGAACACATTTTTAATGGTTGTGAAGTAAGTTCAAATTCAAATGTAGACCTACTGAATTGATCAGGTAGGAAAATCCCCATCTTATTCCCACTGTACAGCCGCAATCATTAATCTGGCGATATCAGATCAAGCATAGTTGACGACAGAAGTAACTGAAAGCAGTTTCAGGGGGTGAGCTGGTTTGCTTAGGATTAGACTAGATGGCGGATCACTATAGCAGCTAAACACCATGATGGCTAGAAATGATAATGATAACGATAACTACATTTTAATAATAGTTCTAATTCTATGAGAATAGCAGATATAACAATAGTGACACAGGAACGATATCGTCGCTAGTTATCATCGTAGCCAATCGATTCAGAATCCTCCAGACTTGAAACCTGCAGTGAACAGTGTCCACACAAACACACAAGAATAGTTACCGTTGTCTTTATAACAGGCCTTTAGCAGGTTTCTCATTCATTTTTCTGTGAATTGTTGTTGTTTTTTTTGTTTGTTTTTTTCGGTGAATTGATTCATAAGTCTGATCCTGCAATTATTTTGCTTTATCGTTCAAAAGTGTTCAAGGATGTTCCCGCATGAGTTTATGTACATTAAAATGTGTCTCTAAAATAAAGGTAAATATTGTGATTTATTATTGTTTTGTTGCAGTATATCATTGATCTTGTGAAAAAGTTAACTTGTTAGTACTACTTATGGTAATAATATACTTCAATAGTAGGGGTGGCACGGTTCACGAAACCCACGGTTCGGTTTGTATCACGGTTTTAGGGTCACGGTTTTCGGTTCTGTACGGTTCTTGTTATTTTTTCTTTTAATCTTAACACTCCAGAAATGTACTTCAGCAAGTGATATATAGCTTAATTATCCACACTTTAGGATACAGTATTACAAATTATATTCATGCAATCATGCACAAACTGGATTTGACTCTTTGACTTTAAGCACATTTTGGGACTATCTCAGAGGAAAGCTAGGTGAGATTTAGATACAGCAAGAGAGAAGAAATTGACATGCTTTTTGTTTATTTGGCAAAAAAAGGAGAATGTGTATCACTATCTCTACAAGAACTTGTGCATTTTTATCACATAAATCTTATTTACACAAAGAAATTAACTTTCATGTATCAACTGCTAACTTAGCTCTTACCAAAATTCTATCTTTTAAAAGAAAAAGAGAGGAACTCTTAAAACACTGTCTTTTAAATGGCATTGCCTATAGATAATTAAGCTATAGCAATAGCAATGCCATAAACATAAAGTGAAATTTAAGTTCAACCTTAACACAAAAACAGTATCAACAATGCTTCTATTCCCAAAATGTGAGGGTACTTTTTTCCACTTAAAATTAAAGTGCAGGATTTGGAAACATATGACTGAAGCTCTTATCTAAACATAAAGTGCCACTGTAGCGTTATATTAAAATATCATAACATGAAATCCAAAATGTTCCCACACACCGGACTTATACCATAGACTTATACGACGCTGGCGCATCCTTTAACTCCCTCATCTCTCCCACTTGCCATTTCTCCGCGTGCCGTCCGTGACCGCGCTCCATACTTCACTTTTACTGGCTTGTTTACTAACTTGAACCGGCGCTGCACAGAGCGATCGGTAATGACATCAAATACCGCGAAAGTGATGAATGCATACAGAGCCGACTCGCGCTAGTTTGATGTTATTCACCGATCGCTCTGTGCAGCGCCGGTCCAAGTCGAACAAGTTTATGTCGCGCGAAAAGAAAACACACGTCACATACGGGCACGAGGTTACATTGCGCATGCGATCGAACCGTGAGACGCACACACGCACCGAACCGAGACAAGCGAACCGAACGGTTCGGGTGTTTTTTCATGTACCGTGCCACCCCTATTCAATAGAATAAAGTTAAGTGTGAACAGAATGCTTTCTTGACACTTAATTGCATGTTAGTTGCAATTAAATGAAAAAAGTATTAGTTTAAAAATTTGCACTTTTTAAAAGTCTATTTAAGTGCATTAAAGTCCTGAAATTGTTCTCTCTTTACATCCTTTAAGTGCACTACAAGTGCACAATCGATGCAATGAAGCGCACTTCAAAAGGGTTGTGTGTATTCAATGAAAATTGTTGTTCCTTATGTAACTGGTATCAATTTTCAATGCTGTAATTTCTTAATCATTTTCAACTGGCAATAGTGTCTGGTTGTTTGAAATGGCATTTTCAGATATTTAGTAAGATAGACACTGAATATCGTATAATATAATGTATAAGTTATGTGAATCTGAGGAGACGTGCGTTCATCCTGCACAGCAACATGACATCATGACTTTTGTGTAAACATATACGCCACTTTCGAGTCAGGTGGCATGTCATCTCTACGCATTTTGAGCTATCCGCGTGTATCCGTGTGTATGCGTATATGTCTACGCCATTAACGTCCGCGTCATTCCGCGTGTCTGTACACGCAGTCAAATCTCCAGTCATAAATGCCATTAACCCCAGTGACGGTTAAGTTTAGGGATGGGGTTGAGATAAGTCTTTTTTTTTTTTTACATTGGATGGTAGGGGAACAGTCATAAATGCCATTAACCCCAGTGACGGTTAGGTTTAGGGACGGGGTTGAGGTAAGTCATATATTTATTTAACGTTAAGTCAACGGCGTTCATAAACACGCAGAAAGGCGATTATGCGTCTTGATAGCACGCCAAAAATGGAAATAAGAATTGGCGTGTCATACACACACTACTTCATGAGATCAGTCTGTGCACAGTTAGAAAGTGTTGGTGTATGGAAAAAGGATACAGAGCAGCATGCAGGAAGTGACCGCCCCGGACAACAGGAAGCGGGGGATTCCTGCTCGCTTGCCTTCGTTCCTCAGGTTGACCTTCAGAGTTATGAAAGACTGGACCCAGCAGAAGAGGGTTCCCAGGCCGAAGGTCATGGAGGTGCCAATATTATGCAGTTCCTCATCGTTGGACAGCTAGATTAAAAAGTGACACAAATAAGGTGTTTAGGTTGAAAGAGTGATACAAAATTATACTTGGAATACTTTTAAAGAAATGCATAAGTAAATCGGACACTTAATAACTAATTGCCAAGTAAATTGTTTTTTAGCTCAGACAAACAACACATCAAACACTGGGTACTTATGGTTCAAATCCTCCTTGAAATTTCATATTTGCAAGTTGGGAAGTCAGGATTACGGCATCAGGTTTGTTCCAGGCACTTTGGTTGGAGCAAGATGGCAATTCACCTTTTCTACAAAACATTTACAAGGTTTAACTCTACTTCTACAAAATGATGAAGTTTTTTTTTTAATGTATTTTTATTTATGAAGGTACTGTAAATGAAATCATTACACTTCCTGACTGTCATATTTTATGTGAAACTTCGTTAGCTTTAGTAATTTAATATCAGCATCTATTGCATCCACCATATTTTCTCACTGACACAATTAGAAACTCTGCGATAGAGAAAGTTCTTAGTTTCCCACTAATAATTCATGTGTTCATGTGCGTTCAGCTCATAAATATAATGGGTGTTTGTCTTTGGAAGTCCACCAAAGACAGAGACCCATTCCCTGCCATTATAAAGCTTGGAAGAGCCAGGACATTTTTTAAATATAACTCTGATTGTGTTCGTCTTAAAAAGTCATATACACCCAGGATGGCTTCAGGGTGAGTAAATCATGGAATAATTTTCATTTTTGGGTGATCTTTCCCTTTAAGTACTCGTAATTGGGTTATATTATGTTTAAAATACTTGTAATCACACAACAGTTACTTTGTTGAATTCTCACAATGGCAGTATTGTTCAAAATTCATTGATTCTCTGCACTTTCTCTTTTTTATCTTTTTAAATGATCTTTTCTAAAAGAAAGTCTACTGCTTATTTTTGCTCATAAGAAGCTCTTCCAGGTTTGTGGAATTGCTCTAGTCATGTGACTGAAAACTGAGACAAACACAGCGTTTGATCACTGAATTTACAGAAATCATTTCACTTTACACAGTAACATAATGAGGGTCCCTACATGCAAAATGAACCATTGAAAACTTTTTAAGTGTACAGACCGTTTAATAAGATATATTTTATAAAGACAGTCCACTTCGTGTATACAGACAGAAGCCATCTTGGGAAAACAGTCACAACAAGTTGAACCATGAATGACGTGCCAAGTGATCTGAACTGTATGAAGTTCAGCAAACTTCTGAACTGTATGAACCATAGATATCTATATAAAGGCTAGATGTCTCACGGCGGAGTATTTATCGTCATTGCCAGCGGCCATCTTGTCACAGACAGGCTTTCTGGCAGGCTCTGTGGTATCTGATGTAAGAAATACTCTTATCTCGTTGAAATCTTGACGGATTTACAAACGGTTTGGTTTCTAATAAACGTTATTAACGTGGCTATAGTTCTGGATGATTATTTATTTATTCACTTATTATTCATAAGTATGCATTATCATAACTACATCTCTGCCGTTTATAACAAACCAGACCGTTTGAAAATCGGCAGAAAATTGAGCAAGTTACGGTGATTTAAAAAGTACATGCACCATTAAAACAATGTTACCAGTGAGCGAGCTGCCTGTGACAAGATGGCCGCCAGGTGCTGACGTCGACCTCCATTGGCCAGCAGCGCGGACGAGATATCTAGCCTTTATATAGATATCTATGGTATGAACGGTGTTCGTGGTTCGACTTATCGAGTCTGTTTTCTGCTCCTGTCTGTACACACGAAGTGAACTGTCTTTATAACGTATCTTATTAAACGGTCTGTACACTTACAAGGTTCTCAATGCTTCGTTTTGCATGCAGGGACCCTCATTATGTTACTGTGTTAGTGTGGGGCTATTTTGAGGCTTGTTAGTGGTATAAACTAGCGATTTCTTTATACTTAGTAAATGCCCCCATTACTAGCGTTATACGCTAAGTTTTTAGAGATAAAACTCTTTACATTCGATTATCATGAAAACAAATCTCAGAGAACGGTTGACCAGGAACCAATGTTTTATTAGACCAAAGGTTCATTTTGCGCCGGAGTTCTCCTTTAATCGGCTGTTGGGGAACACGTGTAACGTTCAAAGACTTCAGATTGTAACCTGTAGGATCAGAGTCCAACATAGTGTCGGCTCACATCTGGCCCACATCTGGACCGAGTCGAATCCATGTGTACCGGATCTGGGCCGACACTATGTTGCTATCTGCGAGGAATCTTTTAGGATTTGCTAAATTTGTCTCAGACGCACAGTGTGCACCTGGCTTAAGTGGTTCAATGTTATGGTTGCAAAAAAGGGTGTGATTCATACCTGGAAGTTGCCCACTAAAGTCATGCCGAAGCAGGCGAGCGAGAGCGCCGCCAGACTGCCGATGTTGAGCCAGGGCTTCTGCACTCGCGGCTTCAGCTGCAGGTATCTCAGCACTCCCAGGATAAAGCCTGGACACCAGCACACAACTCGTTTCAGTCAATTATACATTACTGTCAGCTGTGTGTATCTCACACACACACAAGCAATTTAATAACTACGGCTGCGTTTACACAACAACGATCTACTAAAAACAGAACAGCTTTTCCCAAATGTCAAAACGATCCCGTTCACACAAATCCCTAGAAACGATTAAGAACGCTGTATTATTCATGCCAGGCCAGTAGATGGCGATAAATAAACACTATAGACAATATATCGTGGCACAATATATTACAAAATACAAAAATGTATCGCAATAATATCGTATCGTGAGTTCAGTATCGTAAATCGTGACATGAGGGCATCGCTACACCCCTACTATAGACTGAACACGTAATACACATGCGCATGACATTATTGTTTTCACAAATTCATGCTTTGTTAAAAAAAAAAACACTTTGTTGCGTTTTCAGGCCCCCAAAACGACGACCAAAGCGCACGAAAAGTTTCCAATTTTCAGTTGAAAACAGTGTCGTGCAAACGCCACCACAACTGATGTGCACATGTTATGATGTAATGTTGCCGAACACCGCAACGGTTTCAACAGGCTGCAATTTCGGTACTTAATAAATAATGACTGAATTAGTTGTAAGATCTTCAACTGCATGAAAAAAAAGAAAAGAAAACCAACTCGTTTGACAGAGCCGGAGCACCGCTCATACCTACAAAGGCCGCCATGTTCATGACTTGGCTGAACACGCAGCTGGCAGGAGGTGCATTGCCTGCAATGCTAAACGGTATAAGAACTTTCATCAGCCCTCCAATTACAAACAAAGAAACAAATATGTAAAATATAGATAATCAAATTCGTAAAGATCTACCTGATATATGGAGGAGATTTAGATTCTGACCGTCTATGAACAGAAGAAAGCATTAATATTTTGATTCCTCAAACGATTGGCATGCAATAGAGGTAGGGTTTCCTTACTTGTACTCTGAGCTGAGTGGCGTGATTTTCTCGTCCTCCACAGCAATGAAATACCTGGGCATGAATGAAATGATATGATGTTTATCTGAACAGCAGCTTAAATCAGTGAGGTGGATTGGGTTTCGTATACTCACACGACCCAGAGGCCGGCAGCTGTGAAGACGGAGAACATCACGGGCAGGAACATCCATGGACTGCACTTCCTCATCGTGAGCGTCGGTCAAAAAACCCTGCCGTAAAACAAACACCACAGTCCAACAAACTGCTCACAGTTATACGCTAACTAATGCATCACGGTCTGAGTGCGAAAAGTGTGTGGATTTCTTTTATTCTGGACGTATTTTTCTCAACAAACCAAACTAATCGGCTACAACAATCTGTGGTAATGAACTACTGACATCATGTGATTGAACCACAAATCACAGTACAATATACTTGAGTAAAGTATGAAAGCAATTTATTTTATTGGAAACTATTCAGATATAGCCTTGTGAAAAGAAGTGAGTTTAATAGTACAGTATGTGCACTTGTTGTTAAAGTCCCCCTGTGGTCAAGAATTTGATGGATCACCAACATGACATATTTAAAAAAAAAATTTCCTTGAAACATTCTTCATGTCATAAAGTATCTTGAATGTAACTCTACACTTTTGCCTCATTTAGTATAAGCGGTTCTATGAATATGCAAATGAGCCCCGCCTCCACTCACTGACTCAGCTCAGAGATCGACTGGTTGATGATCACAGGTTGATCTGATTGGTTACAAAGGTTGTTTGTAACGTCAGAAACACCAGCGATTTCAAACCGTGTTTTTGATACAGTCTTTGGTTCACTGCAGTTTTAATCATTAAATACTCGGCAATGCTGTCGACTTATGAATTTACACATGGTTTGTCTTTAAACCATATTAATAACACCAGACAGACATATAAACAATATTAAAAGCTGAATTTTCACCACAGGGAGACTCTCACTTCATGCATTATGGGTAAAGAGGTCAATTTTACTGCCAGAACCCTGCAGTTGCACTTTATTATGAAGTTTATTTATTATTCATTATTATGAATAAGACAGGAATCAAACAACTGACCAGTCTCAAGATTTCTTCGAGATTCCCTGATGCGTCGACAGGTTTCAGTCTATTGAGAGACAAAACAAAAATGCAGTCATTTCTCTTTCATGGCCCATTGAACGCTTCCATAATCCAGTTATGGTTAACGTTATGTTTATTGATCAATCATTGGTGTTTCAGTGGACAGCGCCTTGGTGCTGAATCAGGATTCATTTCCCTCCCCTGATCTCACATTCACAAACAACGTTACAGCAGCAGACATCTGATCTTACTGATGGACTTACTCGTACTATTAATACAAAACTGGTATATTAAAACATTGCATTTCTTGTGACTCGAAATAATAAAACGATACCTTGGTTTGCAGGACAATAACTGTATAATACGTTCAAAAACCAAAGCATGAATGTTTGAAGAGAAATACACAGCATCGATTGTCTGAAACTGAATTTGATCTCTGGGCGGAAATAATACGAGACATTTCTGCCAAAAAGCGAGTCCGTATTGTGTTATTGTGAAAGGTGAGTATAAATAACGTTACCTTGTAGACAGCGCACTGTTCTGTCGCGTCCAAACCCCGTGTCCTCTTCATTTCAGAAAGACTCAGAGACAGACATGTTTGGCTTCGGTATGCGTCTCTGTCAGAAGCGACGTGAAGCCTTCACAGCATATGTATTGGGCCTGACGGATGTTTCTCACACAAACACTGCGCGCCATAGATGTGACGAGTAGTCGTGTTCGATTCGCAAACGAGTCGTTCGTTTGAACCGGTTCTTTTTAGGGATTCATACAAACCGATTCACAAAGCATCTGTACATCACTCCGCTGCCACAGAGTGGAAGAATAGAATAGAATAGAATAGAATACCAAAAGATATGTGTGATCTGAATTTAAATAGGTGGTAAGGGTTTTCGTTCAAACTTTTTGAGTAAAACCATACAAATAGCATTGTTTTAAAGGTGATCCACAAGTGGGTTTTAAAGTCACCATGAAATCAAAATAGACAATTGTTTTTTTCATGTCTCGTATACATCTTTTCACAAGTTTTTTTAGATTTAGATTTATGTTTAAACATTATAAAATAATTATAATAACAATAAGTATTTTTCAAAGTTTAGCTTTTCTTATTGAAGTATCATATTTTTGTAATTACGACATTATTACAGTCAAACCTAAACATAGTTTTAAACATTTGTTTATGTGTGCATGTTGTGTGTGTTTGCATTTGTTCTCCATGTCCATGGATGTATTATGGTGTCACTCCATCATTTCTGTGTATGTTCTGTATTGTAACTGAGTTTTGACAAAAGAAGTTACAAAGAGCAGCTAATGGCAGTCATTTTTCATTTCTTATGAGTGATTTTGTTGTGTTTGTATACTCCATCTGGGGTGTGTTGTGCTTTCACCCCTTCATTTTTTGTGTGCTTTCTGCATTGAAACTGTTTTTTTTTTTGTTGTTGACAAATTATGTAACAAAAATACATTTTTATAGTCTCCCATTGATGTCTCTGTGGGATTTTTGGGGGAGTGGATCACCTTTTTTTCTCGCTAACATACAACCAGATATCATTCCATTTTTTTTCTTTTGTACAGCTAGTGTCAACCACAACATCAAGTCTCATGCCATTTAGATGATGGGAATTAAAAAAAATAATAATAATTTGGGGTCAAAAACACTCCTACTAGCGTTTGAGGGTTAATATAAGACACTTTGTTTTAAGCATTAATAGGGGCGGCCATGCAGGCTTGAACTCCTAGACTAAAACACGGCACGAACACAGGATATGTGAGTATACTAAAACATTACACAAGCACAGGTTATGTGAGTATATTAAAACATGACACGAGCACAGGTTATGTGAGTATATTAAAACATGACACGAGCACAGGTTATGTGAGTATATTAAAACATTACACGAGCACAGGTTATGTGAGTATATTAAAACAGGACACGAGCACAGGTTATGTGAGTATATTAAAACAGGACACGAGCACAGGTTATGTGAGTATATTAAAACACGTCATGAGCACAGGTTATGTGAGTATATTAAAACACGTCATGAGCACAGGTTATGTGAGTATATTAAAACACGTCATGAGCACAGGTTATGTGAGTATATTAAAACACGACATGAGCACAGGTTATGTGAGTATATTAAAACAGGACACGGGCACAGGTTATGTGAGTATATTAAAACACGTCATGAGCACAGGTTATGTGAGTATATTAAAACATGACACGAGCACAGGTTATAGTGAGTATATTAAAACATGACACGAGCACAGGTTATAGTGAGTATATTACATTACACGAGCACAGGTTATGTGAGTATATTAAAACATTACATGAGCACAGGTTATGTGAGTATATTAAAACACGACACGAGCACAGGTTATAGTGAGTATATTACATTACACGAGCACAGGTTATAGTGAGTATATTAATACATGAGCACAGGTTATGTGAGTATATTAAAACATGACACGAGCACAGGTTATAGTGAGTATATTACATTACACGAGCACAGGTTATGTGAGCATATTAAAACACGACATGAGCACAAGTCATGTCACAACATGCGCACCCACCTGTGCGAATCAACAAACAAATCGACATCCTGCTCTATAACACATGCAGGTAAGAACACTTACATGTTTGAAACAGTGTTGAATACTAAACCTCAGTCTGACTTTTTCTTTTATTCCCATTCACCATAACAAAAATAATCAGATTTATGAAAATGAAACTGAAAATTAGTTACACTATACTCCATTTACTTATAAGATTTGTAATAAACATACTATATCACTATTATGAGACATATATAGTTTTATTTTACTCACCAGTAAAATAATCTCTTGCTTGCGGTGTTGCTTTTGTTTTAGAAATATACGTTTTTGTCACTCACTAGCTGTATTTTTTTTTTTTCATATTGAAGTTTAACTCCGCCCTCTGACGTCAAGGCCGCTTTACGCCCTCCTCTTATTTGAACCTATTCACAACCTCTCTGTCAAAATGCGTGTACAAGAAGGACACAAGAGCTTCGCCAGTCCTGGGTTCAGTCATGGGCGATAATCAGTTACAGAGCCGTTTCTCTGTGACTGTGATCTTTCTCAACGAGAGCGACGTAAAGCGAGATCAACATCAGGATCTCACGCTTCACGCGCACAGACAGCTGGACGATGACGTCTCTCTCACAATTAACGACGGTAAACAAACACTTCATTACACTTTAATTTAAGGTAGCAGTGTTACAGTGTACTTATACATTTGAGTACTGAGCAATAGTAATGAACTAATGTTACATAGGATTAGGGTAAGGGTTTGGTTTAGCGTTAGCTGCTTGTAATTATGAATAAGGCTATTATTTCTCTAGGAAAGACATGCAAGTTCTCGGCGTTTCAGAAGCTAAGGTAAGTTAGGCCTACTAAAGTCATAAAGTCACAAGAGATTTTAATATAAACTCAAGTAGCCTATTTATCATAAAAATTCTTCCCAGTCCATGTCCTGGAAGTATCCACATTAATATCATAACTTAGAGATATGTAGACTAAAGTAGTTTTGTTGTTACACTTTATTTTACTGTGTTCATATTCCACGTTACATGTAGTAATTACTGTAGTAATAACTACAAATGTTGCTATTTTTTACAGTCAATGATAATTACCTTTACAGTCTATGGTAATTACATGCAACCAAACCCTTAAGTCATTGTAAAAATACGTGATTCATTTTTTATTTAGCAGATTCTTACATGACAATATATGGCATATGGAAAACATCACAAACGTTTTTTTTTTTTAAATTTTTTTAACATCATTCATAGAAATTCAAATGAATGAAGAAAAAATATAGGATTTACAATGTAACTATCCGTCAAGTACGTGTTAATTAACATTAATCACTTATTTTAACGACGATAATTTTTTAACTCTCATTTTGAACTCGGTTGATTCTATTTGCTGAAAAAATATATATAAAGGAGATTTTGTTCGCAATTGTGCATCACTATGCTCTTTTCATTTAATTGTTTTTCCATATTTTTTTCCAAATTTTTTGTTCAAGTATCATGTTATACCAATTTCAAAGTAGGCCTATCTGCTCTTGTCTTAAAAATATGATGAGTAAAGGAAGTGAAGAACCACATGGAAGAATTTATACTGTATATAACGTCATACCAAACAATTTCTGGCTCTTTGTAGCGTCTTGTTTATTGGCTGAAGGACAAGGGAAGAGTCTTTATTCAGGTGTGCCACACATTTCCCGGGTCTCATTGTGTGGTCCTGCAGTATGTACAGATCTCTGGGATTTACTGTGCACACACACACACACCATAAGCCGCTCCGGTTCGCCTGCACCGGACTCTGTTTTCTTGGACACGGTACACTAGCCCTGGACGCCTGCGCTTTCTGCCTCCCGTCACACAACATCAGATAGCAGCTTCTCTCTGGATCACATCTCCCTCACAAAGCAGGACACACACAGTTCTGATGCCAGCTTCTAGCTGACACATGTGTCTTACTTTCTTCTGCACTGAAGGAGCAAAATGTTCATGCTTTTCTTTATCAAAAGCATTTAGTGAGCACAGGCTGTTAAAGGGTTAATTCACTCAAAAATGAAAATTATCCCATGATTTACTAACCCTCAAGTCATCCTAGGTGTATATGACTTTCTTTTTTCAGACGAACACAATCTAGAGTTATATTAAAAATATCCTGGGTCTTCCAAACTTTGTAATAGGTGTTTTTGAAGCCCAAAAAAGTGCATCCATCCATACAAATAGTAAAATAGTACCCATACGAATCCTGTGGGTTAATAAAGGCCTTCTGAAGCGAAGCCATACGCTTTTGTAAGAAAAATTAATAAACTATAATCACTGGCTTTTGGTAACGGCCATACGCGAGTCTAGATCAGGCGGAAACCTCTGACCCAACGAGTGACCTCTGACCATACGAGTGACCTCTGACCCGACGCATGACGCATCACTTTGCTTCAGAATGCCTTTATTAACCCACAGGAGTCGTATAGGTACTTTTATGATGGATGGATGCACTTTTTTGGGCTTCCATTATAAAGCTTGGAAGAGCTAGGATATTTTTAAATATAACTCTGATTGTGTTTGTTTGAAAAAGAAAGTCATATACACCTTTTTTGGGCTCAAAAACCCATTATAAACTTGGGAAGAGCTAGGATATATTTTAATATAATTCCGATTGTGTTTGGCTGAAAGAAAAAGTCTTAAATACCTAGGATGGCTTGAGGAGTAAATAATGGGTGAACTATCCTTTTAAGCTTGACAACAATTTAAATCTTGCTGCAACTTTGACATGAATAATGCCGAACGAAACTGATTCATGCACAATGTAAATCACCAGCATCCACTTTAAGTTTATGTAAAAGAGCTGCATGAACATTTTCCCATCATCTCCTTCTGTCATATGGGAATGACACTAGCGTAAAACTGATGACTGATGACAGAATTTTAACTTCGGGGTGTAAAAAGTTAAAAAGTTTAAAGGGTGAAGTAATCCTTTCAGCATTCATATACCCTGTCTATTGCTCTGCTTTCAGATGCTGGGGTTTGTGTTTTTAAGTTCTCCATCACGAGGGAGACCGAGTGTTGTCGGGTGGCCAGCCGCTCGTTCCTCGTCACACTGGGCTATTTCAGCATCCTAATCCGCTTCAACTCTCAGTCAGGTCAGTTATCTCTCCTTTCATCACTCTTTACTAGGGGTGTGACAATATATCGTGTCACATTATCGCAATACAAAAATGCAACAATATGTATTGTGCATACTAGGTCACCCAAAGTCAGTACTACACTAAAGTACTATATACTGTATAATGTTGAATATAATGTTTGATAATGTAATGGGGGAATATCTGTGTATCCTGATAATGCCAAATGCCTGATGTTACCAGTAAAAGTGGCCGACATTATTTTAAATAGTCAGTGACAGAGAACAAGCATATTTATCTAAAATAATTCAGTATTTTCAGCTCCAGAATCATGAATATTGTTATTCTGGTGTCTCTATTGTCCTGTGCTTTGGGTTTCAGCACCAAGTCCATCCTATTCATTTACACACACAATGTAACACCAAATTTAGCATTTTAATCAACACTACATTTATTGTTATCCTTTAATCATATATCTTGATATCGCAATAATATCATATTGTGAGTTCAGTATCGTGATTTGAATCGAATTGTGACACGAGGGCATCGTTACACCATTAAACATACACTCACCGGCCACTTTATTAGGTACACCTGTCCAACTGCTCGTTAACACTTAATTTCTAAGCAGCCAATCACATGGCGGCAACTCAGTGCATTTAGGCATGTAGACATGGTCAAGACAATCTCCTGCAGTTCAAACCGAGCATCAGTATGGGGAAGAAAGGTGATTTGAGTGACTTTGAACGTGGCATGATTGTTGGTGCCAGAAGGGCTGGTCTGAGTATTTAAGAAACTGCTAATCTACTGGGATTTTCACGCACAACCATCTCTAGGGTTTACAGAGAATGGTCCGAAAAAGAAAAAACATCCAGTGAGCGGCAGTTCTGTGGGCGGAAATGCCTTGTTGATTCCAGAGGTCAGAGGAGAATGGCCAGACTGGTTCGAGCTGATAGAAGGGCAACAGTGACTCAAATAACCACCCGTTACAACCAAGGTGGGCAGAAGAGCATCTCTGAACGCACAGTACGTCGAACTTTGAGGCAGATGGCCTACAGCAGCAGAAGACCACACCGGGTGCCACTCCTTTCAGCTAAGAACAGGAAACTGAGGCTACAATTTGCACAAGCTCATCGAAATTGGACAATAGAAGATTGGAAAAACGTTGCCTGGTCTGATGAGTCTCGATTTCTGCTGCGACATTCGGATGGTAGGGTCAGAATTTGGCGTCTACAACATGAAAGCATGGATCCATCCTGCCTTGTATCAACGGTTCAGGCTGGTGGTGGTGGTGTCATGGTGTGGGGAATATTTTCTTGGCACTCTTTGGGCCCCTTGGTACCAATTGAGCATCGTTGCAACGCCACAGCCTACCTGAGTATTGTTGCTGACCATGTCCATCCCTTTATGACCACAATGTACCCAACTTCTGATGGCTACTTTCAGCAGGATAATGCGCCATGTCATAAAGCTGGAATCATCTCAGACTGGTTTCTTGAACATGACAATGAGTTCGCTGTACTCAAATGGCCTCCACAGTCACCAGATCTCAATCCAATAGAGCATCTTTGGGATGTGGTGGAACGGGAGATTCACATCATGGATGTGCAGCCGACAAATCTGCGGCAACTGTGTGATGCCATCATGTCAATATGGACCAAACTCCCTGAGAAATGCTTCCAGCACCTTGTTGAATCTATGCCACGAAGAATTGAGGCAGTTCTGAAGGCAAAAGGGGGTCCAACCCGTTACTAGCATGGGGTACCTAATAAAGTGGCCGGTGAGTGTACGTTTGCCTGATCAGTCTTCCAAAAGTGACAAAAATGTATTGATGTTGTGCAACATTAATGCCCTTTAGAAGCCAAATGTTACTTAAGTCATCAAACCTGTTCCAGTCTCGTAGCATGAATTATACTTTATTGCTTTTCAGTCTTATTTCTCCAATATTTGTCTAGTATTACTAATTTAAGATCAAAGTATGGAATTTTTCGGTCTTGTTCCTTTGAGAAGCATTACGTTTTTCCAGCACATCTGTTGTACATCTGTGTTTAACTCCTCGTGGAGTAGATTTGGGATAAATCCATTGGCAACTGAATCAAGCATGATAGAATAGAAATATCATAGAATTTTGCAAAGCCCGTGCAGACACATGTTTTATATACAGACTTATAAAGGGGATATGGATGTGTATGTTTGTGAATATATATATATATGTGTGTGTGTGTGTGTGTGTGCTGTTAAATTATAAAAAAAATAATAACCACACTTTTTTCTGTAATTAATCGTGATTAATCACATCTAACATTACATTTTTTATTATATTGTTATATTGTAATAATTTCTCATTGAATCTCCAAATTCATGTAGAAAGTACATGATTTCTTTGATTTTTAAATACCATGATTTTCTCAATTTCTGGGGATAAAATGAGTAACTATAACTGTTGAACTTAAATGTACTCAAATGTAAAATAACACTGTAAATTAAATATGAATCCTTGTTAAAGCTGCTAAAGCTATTCAGTCAAGAGCAGTGAGTGATTTTCCTTTGTTCGTTGATTAACATTAATCACAGCAGGTTTATTAGGTTTCTGTCACTTTAAGAGCTTTACAGAGATAACAGGAAAATAGTGCAACAAAGTTAGTTTCCAGAAAAAAATAACGTCATAGTCCAGCTTAAGTAAGTTCAGTGATCTTTCATTTTTGTTGTAAAAAAGTGTAATTTAGTTCATTTATATATAAAGCCACTCTGGAGAGCACCGCTATGTCATTGTCCAGCTTAGTTCTTGTATTATAGTGTCAGCGCAGGTAGATCAATAATATTATTGAATATTAAATGTTAAATGTGTAAACCAAAAGCCAACAAAGGCAACTAAGGTGCAAAAGGCATCGGTGGACTTCAAGAAAGTTTTGATCACGTGGATCATTAAGAGGCCTGAGAAATATGATACTGATATATCAGGTTAATAACTACCATAGTCCATCAGTGCTTGGTTGTGTTGTTACACGGTAGTGAAGGAGTGTGTTCTGCTCAGAGTTTCAGGGCTTCCACAGACTGCTGAGCTCGTGGACGGACCTCAGGAGGACAGACCCGTCTGTGTTTCAGCAGAGGACCGATGAATCGTCTGCGCTGCAGTACTTCCAGGTAAAGCAGACAATTGCCCCATGCAAACGTCAAACTTTATTCAGTTGCCTTGTGGTCTGTGTACATGATTTACCTCTCTGAGACATTTTCAGTTTTCTCTCAGTTTTATGGCTGTCTGTCCCAGCAGCAGAACATGCTTCAGGATTACCTCAGGACCGCAACGTACCAAAAAGCCATTTTGCTCAATGAAGTCGACTTCAAAGATAAAGTATGTGTTGTCAACTAGTTTCATCAAACTTTATCCTACTAGTCTTTAAAGGTGTACTCAGTATTTGTTTTACTTTATGCTTCGTTGGCCAATGTGGCAATGTTTTTGTGCTGATACCTGTTACTAGGGTTTGACAATATGACCAAAATCTCTTTTCATTCATTTTATTTCGCACAGTAATAATATACATCATAATATAGTTGTTGTTGTTTTTTTTGTCATTAAAAATAAGAACCAAGAAGCAAATTACTAACACTAGGACAAAAACAACATATACATTGATTCTTATTAAAGGAGTAGTTCACTTTTAAAAAAACTTTTACTGATAATTTCCTCACCCCCATGTCATCCAAGATATCCATGTCTTTCTTTCTTCAGTCGAAAAGAATTAAGGTTTTTGATGAAAACATTCCAGGATTTTCTCCATATAATGCACTTCACTGGGGCCCAAACGGTTAAAGGTCCAAATGAGAGTTTCAGTGCTGCTTCAAAGGGTTTTTAATCGACACCAGACGATGAATAAGCGTCTTATCTAGCGAAACGATTGGCCATTTCAAAAATAAATAACAAAGTTTAAGTTTTATAGGCACAAATGCTCGCCTTGCTCTGTTCTGTGATGCACGTTTAAACGAGTCACAATTGTGACTCTCCTGTTCGACCTTGTTCATCAAAATGAACAAATCTTTTTTGGAGTCATTTCGTTCATTTGTTCGTTGAATGAACCAAATGACTCGGAAAAAGATTTGTTCATTTTGATGAACGAGTTCGAAAAGGAGTGCATTACAGAACAGAGCAAGGCGAGCGTTTGAGCTTATAAAACTTAAACTTTGTTATTTATTTATAAAACGAGCGATTGTTTCGCTTGATAAGACCCTTATTCATCGTCTGGAATCGTTTAAAGCCCTTTGAACAAGTTTGCAGTTTGTACTTAAAGTTTCTTTTGGAACTTGAACCGTCTGGTTCCATTATATAGAGAAAAATCCTGGAATGTTTGAAAAAAAATCCTGAAAAAAGATTTGACTGGTCTCAACTCTGCTGCGGTTTGATTGAAATATGAACAAAACACGGTTCACAGACATGATGTAATGTTTTTATCATTGATTGTAGTCGCAATGTTTATTCCATTTTGTGTGTATTCAAGCCGTAGATAAGTGTGCATAACTTTGAAATAACCAATATTACTTACATACATGCATTGAGTATGTCAGATGGTTTGAACAACAGTGATTGGACTTTTGTGCATTTTTACCAATGCCCGTGATGATCCCAGTTAAGTTAGAACCAGTCAATACAGTCCAGAAAAACACTAATGAACACTAATCCTGGCTTAATCTAAGCCCTGTCTGTGAAACCGGGCTTGAGTGTACCAACCAAGTCAACCGAATTACCGAAGTGTGATGTGAACACATCCTTAAGATATAACCAACATGCATACTCTCCAAAACAGATATTGTTTTAACATATTTGTGTGTATTTGACCATTCAAGTCCATTTAAAATTCAATATTAACCTGAGAAAAAGAACCAAATAAAGGACTCACAGCTTTCTGTGTCCATGGCCATATGTGTCGGGCAGCACTCGATTAGCCCATGGAGTTACTATACTGAATTATTTCGATTCATTTCTTTATCGATCAGTAACTTTAAATGGTACTCTGCGTGGAGTCATTAACATACCGCGATAAATGTAAACGATATAGAAAAATCTTTGTCAAAAGACATTTACTGTATACAGTGGGGCCAAAAAGTATTTAGTCAGCCACTGATTGTGCAAGTTCTCCTACTTAGAATAATGAGAGAGGTCTGTAATTTTCATCATGGGTACACTTCAGCTGAGAGACAAAATGAGAGACAAAATGAGAAAAAAAAAGAAAGCTCACTTTTCAAAAAACAATTGCTGATAATTTACTCACCCCCATATCATCCAAGATGTCCATGTCTTTCTTTCTTCAGTCGAAAAGAAATTAAGGTTTTTAATGAAAACGTTCCAGGATTTTTCTCCATATAATGGACTTCAGTGGGAACCAAACGCTTCAAGGTCCAAAAGAAACTTTCAGTACAAACTGCAAACTGTTCAAAGGGCTTTAAACGATTCCAGACGATAAATAAGGGTCTTATCAAGCGAAACGATCGCTCATTTTTTTAAAAAATAACAAAGTTTAAGTTTTATAAGATCGAACGCTCTCCTTGCTCTGTTCTGTGGTGCACGTTCGTGACTCTACTGTTCGAACTCGTTCAACAAAATGAACAAATATTTTTCCGAATCAATTCGTTCGTTTCCTTTCGTCCGAATGAACCAAATGACTCGGAAAAAGATTTGTTCATTTTGATGAACGAGTTCGAACAGGAGTGCGTTACAGAACAGAGCAAGGCGAGCGTTTGAGCTTATAAAACTTAAACTTTGTTATTTATTTATAAAATGAGAGATCGTTTCGCTTGATAAGACCCTTATTCATCGTCTGGAATCGTTTAAAGCCCTTTGAACAGTTTGCAGTTTGTACTTAAAGTTTCTTTTGGAACTTGAACCGTTTGGTTCCCACTGAAGTCCATTATGTAGAGAAAAATCCTGGAATGTTTTCATCAAAAACCTTAATTTCTTTTCGACTGAAGAAAGAAAGACATGGACATCTTGAATGACATGAGGGTGAGTAAATTATCAGCAAAAGTTTTTTCAAAAGTGAACTACTCCTTTAATGTCATATCACCCAGGCCTACCTGTTACCAGATACAGCATCACACAAGCAAGGTGTTGAACTGATTTCTTCGTAGAAATACACTTTTTATATACGTAAATGTCCTTATTTCTCACCTGGATTAAGTAGCAACACCGATGTCATGGTTTAATTCCAACACACATACTGATTAAACATAATACAATTAATTCAAAGAAAATGTACCGAGTGCACCGTTGAGATTTTTAAAAATAAAAGTCTTACTATACAGTTGAGTTATTGTACTGTGTTGATAATAACAGTTTTGGTCAGATGTGCTCTGATGGTGTGCACTGCTTCTGTTTAGGTGGTTCTCGATGTGGGCTGTGGGACGGGGATATTGTCCTTCTTCGCCGTCCAGGCCGGGGCGAAGAGAGTTTACGCGGTGGAGGCCAGCTCTGTGGCCAAATATGCAGAAGTACACGCAAACTATTTATGATTTATCCTCCACACTCATTTCAGACCCTTACAAGTCTCTACTGGAGCACAAAAGATGCTTTGCATGTTCAGCAGAAATTGCACACTGCAGTCTGGGAAGTCTGTGCGACACATGCACTGTATTGCAGGTCTTCTTCGGGCACATGATATCTTTGTGTGAGGAATAGGCTGAAATATCATTCTTTTCTTACACTGTAGCTCTCATATTTCATTCTCACTTCTGCATATTCAAATGTTGGCTATGAGACGCACCAAACAATGGCATTTGACAAAATTAATATGTGACCGGTCTTGATTTGAATATACACAATATAATTGATTTGAATATGTTTTTCAGAAAGGGAAGTTTTAGGTTTGGGCTTGTTCCTCGCAATTGTAAGCCTTCAGACTTGGATCAAAGCACACGGATACTTCTATGATACTTTTCTTACAGCATTAATTTCCAGACTTAGACTTTATTGTAAGAATGAGCTAAATCATGTGGCTCATCATCAAGACAAACTTTCATTTTTATGGGTGAATGAACCACTTAATCATAACATTGGGAGATTTGATCAGTATTTAATTGCATTGTGTTGTGCTTTAAGTTTGAAGGAAATATCCATAAACTTAACAGAAAATGTCTTGGGAGAAAATTACCAGTAACTTTCTGTTTGTCTATGGATTTTTTTTTTTTCGTACAGTGTGGCAATAAAAGCAAATCATATATTTCCACTAGTCAATCTATTACTAAGAGCTTTCAGGGCGTAGTGAGGGCATATGTATTTCTTGGCCAACTGTTGGATGTGCTATGAGGATAAATCACTTATCACTATCTATGTTTATCACACCCCTTTGGCTTGTAGTTCAGGGCTATGGGTTTTGTGGAAAAATACCCAGGCCGAGCCGACTTTTCTGGCACATTTTCACAGGGCAACACCTTCAGAAGGATCTTTCCTGCGTGTCAGGAATGCATGACATTCTGGCTGCTAAATGACTTGAAGACGGATTTGGCCCGGAAACTTGGAGAGTGGGAAAGGAAACATGTTTTCATGGATAAAGACTGCTTTTTTAACAGACAAGCTCAGTACTAATAGCTCACTTTTTCTCATTTAATGGAAAGGTCTTGTTACTCTTTGTAGACTACAACCATATGTGTTTGTGTTTCTACTGACACATCTGATTTATGCAACCAATGATCCAACTATAAAACAGAGCCTTTGACTCTTAATCTCGAAACGGTTTCCGTTGTTTAGAAAAGAGATTACGAATGCATTTTTGGGTTCTTTTGCAGGGGTTATAATCAAACCCATATTTACCTTGCCTCAATGCTTAAAGTGTAAGGAATTTTCCATTTAAAGTCCATTTTAAGGTTAAAGTCAGCATAAAACGGAAGTTGCAATAGACTTTTCATCCCTATTGTGTCGTATATCATCGAGTGAAACGCTTCTAGATCAAGATCAAATGTGGGCGGTGCTTTTTTCCCATTACGAATTGATTGGATAATTGTGGTTTGCGATTGGTGGATCTCATGTGATTGACAGGCTATTGCCCCGCCCTCATCATCTGAGAAGAGAAGAGATGGGGAAGTTAATTCAAGATTAAGATTAAAATTTGATTGACAAGATTATGAAAAAAAATTATGTGCCCGGATAAATCATTTATTATAAATACTGCAATATTCCATAAAAAAAGAAGAATTGTCCATTATAATTTCATTGCGACTTTAAAGTCAATATATTTAAAATGTACTAAATTGCAACATCATTACAAATGTGTAATTACAAATATATTTAAATACATGACATTCAAGTTTTAATTACATCAAAGTTTAACATTGCAATTAACGTGACATTGAATAACAAAATGCAAAATCGGATAAATCTTAACACAAGGACAGCTAGTGATCATTTAACACAATCTTGTGGTTAAAATTGTGTTTATTTTATCGTTACTTATTGTGCAAGGAATAGTATTCCATTATAAGTGCATCACTAGAAGTTATTTTTGTCTGTTTTCGCAAACTGAGGAACGAGTCGCAGTATTTTCTGAGTTAATTGACAGCATGTGGAAAAGATGCGGATGGAGCTTGAGCTGTTTTGTCCTTCTTGTCTCTTCAGATTCTAGTGAAAAGCAATAGCTTGTCTGACAAAATCACGGTTCTGTCAGGAAAGATCGAGGAAGTGTCCTGCCCGGAGAAGGTGGACGTCATCATCTCGGAGCCCATCGGCTACATGCTCCTCAACGAGAGGATGCTGGAGAGCTTTCTACACGCCAAATACTGGTTAAAGCCCAAAGGTCTGTACATCGCAAACAACAAGTTATTAGCAGCCATATCACCCTGTAGCCCAAGACTGGTTGCTCACTGAAGCTAAGCAGGGCTGAGACTAGTTAGTACCTGGATGGGAGACCTCCTGAGAAAACCAGGTTGCTGCTGGAAGAGGTGTTAGTGAGGCCAGCAGGGGGTGCTCACCCTGTGGCATGTATGGGTCCTTATCCCCCAGTATAGTAATGGGGACACTATACTGTCAAAGAGCACCTTCCTTCGGATGAGACGTTAAAAACCGAGGTCCTGTCTCTCTGTGGTCATTAAAAATCCTTCGAGGACTTTTGACCAAATTTGCCCCTTGGCCTCTGTCCATGATGGCTTCCTAATCATCCCTATACTAATTGGCTTCATCACTCTGTCTCTTCTCCACCAGTAAGCTGGTGTGTGGTGGGCGTTCTGGCGCAATATGGCTGCCGTCCCATCATCCAGGTTGATGCTGCACATTGGTGGTGGTTGAGGAGATTCCCCCCCCTTCCATATGTGAAGCACTTTGAGGTCCCAGAAAAAGCGCTATATAAATTTTTTTCTAATGAAACAAGTGCCACAATAAACGCCACCACACGCAAATTCATGTAGTGTTCAAATGTGATGGGTTATTGAAGATCAAGTGCTCGTCAATGCTATATTGTGTTTTTCTGTTGGCGTCATTGTACTCAAAGTCAACGTGAGTCTCAGGACATGTATAGATGACACACCAAAGATGCACTTGCTATGTAGCAAATGTAAACCACAAAGAATAATGGCTAATTTTATTAATTGGGAAGTGACTGAATAGGGAAAAGTAAAGTTTCAGAGGCATAGTTTTTCCTTTTTGGGTGAGCTTTAATCTTCTTCTTTGACTGTCCAGGAATGATGTTCCCTACGCAGAGTGACATTCACCTGGCTCCGTTCACTGACGAACAACTGTACATGGAGCATCATGCCCGCACCAACTTCTGGTAACGCCCTGCAATTTACACTTATAGTAGGACATCATCTGGGACATAGGAAATGCGTTTTTGAAGGGCTTTTTTCCCTGTGCATTGGCTGAAGATAACGTCCGGTCTTGAAATGCAGTAGTTCCCAGAGAAAATGAAAATCCGGTCATCATTTAGGATGTGTTCACACTTGGCATGTTTGTTTGGATTAAAACGAACTCTAGTGCGTTTGCTCTGTTAGTGCGGATCATTTGAACAAGTGTGAATGCTGTCATCTGAACAACCGGAATGAGACGCTGAAATATGAGTCTCACTCTGCTTACAAACTAGTGCAGTTCAACTGATATATGAACGCAACACGGTCCAACGACATCGAAACAAACCAAAACCAGGATGTGATGCGACCCTTAAAAGCCACGTTTCCACAACCCTTCAAATCAGACTGATCTCATGAAATGGCGTATGTATGACACGCCAATTCGTATTTCAATTTTTGGCGTGCTATCAACACGCATGATCGTTTTTCAGCGTGTTTATGAACGCCGTTGACTTAACGTTACATGAATGTATATATAAATATATGAGTTACCCCAACCCCATCCCTAAACCTACCCGTCACTGGGGTTAATAGCATTTATGAGTGTTTCCCTACCATCCTAGGAAAAAAAAATATCGCTCCCCAGATGTAGATCTACATTTTGCTTCGAGTCACTCGGACATTTAACGGCGTAGACATACACGCATACACATGGATAGCTCAAAATGCGTATAGACCATTTTGCAAGATGTAAACAACACTGGTCCAGAAGCACTTCCTGTTTCAGTTTTTTAACACTACATAAAAGCTGGGATAAAATACAACCAACAGAACATATAAAACTGAATCAGAAAGTTAAACAAACATCTTTAAGATGTTTTCCTTACATTTGAAATAAAGAAAACAATTACAAACTGAAACAGGAAGTGTTTCTGGACCAGTGTTGTTTACATCTTGCAAAATGGTCTATAGATAACACGCCACTTGACTTGAAAGTGGGCGTTCTGGCGCAATATGGCTGCCGTCTTTGGACGGTGTTGCGTTCATGTTGTTGTTCAAATTGTTACCCCATTTAAATTGCGAATTAAAAATACTCCCAATGGAAGCACGTCAACAGTCTCAATGTTGCCCATCACAGTTCAGTGTGTGTGTGACGGAGGGATACTTCACACTATTTCGACTCCTTTACACACTTTATAAGCTTTTCACGAGTTCTCAGCTGCTCAAAATCCCTTCATATATCGGCTAAGCACATACAACCGCATTTAGCCCAGAACACAGCATTGTTTTAGATGTTCGGCAAATTCCATCTTAAAATATACGTCATAAAAGCTGACCAATTAGGTTCTGAACATATTTCAATTCCTTTGGGTTCTGTGTTAAAATGTCAATGTGAACGCTAAGTGGACAACTAAATGGTTTTTTTTCCAGACCAAACGAATCAAGCGAACTGTACCATAAGTGTGAACACACCCTGGGTTGCTTTCACACTAGCACTTTTGGTGATTGACATCAGAGTTCGGTTTGTTTGGATGATGCGAACGCACCCGTGAACCGTACCCGAGGCCAAATAAAAACGGTGGCGGTACGGCACTACGCTTCATGTGAACTCCAGTACGGTTCACTGCTGATATTAACGCAGATTGTACTAAGTCGCAGAAGTGAACCGCTATTGATGACGCATGATTCAATAAAACTGGGTTTGTGTGCATCTCACTCACTTTACAGACTGATGCACTGCAAGCACAGAGAAGTTGTATCTCATTTCTGCTTGCCTTCAGCACAAATCGGTAAAACTTTATGTGCTGATGCTTTGAAAACAAAACCAAAGTTTCAAAAACCAAAGTAAAAGTGTGGTCAGCACTGCATCGACATTACCAAACAACAGGGGTAGACAGCTACTGTTGTGATGATAGGTAGGCCTAGTGTTAGGGGTTAGTATCATTACTCCCACCATTGTCCCAGTCTCCCCTTACTCACCTTCATGACATTACAAACCTGTATAACTTCCTGTCTTCTGTACAACACAAAATGAGAATGTTCTTCAATGTTTCCCATGCGAATGAGGACATGAAAAAGCCACTTTAATGCACTATAGTCCACGTCATCTGAGGCCATATTATTGCTCTGTTTGAGAAACCGAAATGTAATGTTTTATTCACTTCATGGATCAGTCAGTGAGTTGAGAACCGGGCCAGTCGGATCCGTTTCAATAGTAAACCTTAACATAACACGTCCAAGGATACCAGAAAGAGATTATTTACACAAAGCAGCTCCACCCACTATATCTGTAAATCAGAAGGCAAATTAGCATGATTATAGTTATTTTCACAAAATCACTGTTTTTCCTGCATTTGTGATCAAATAAATTAATGCAGTCTTGATGAGCATAAGAGTGCTGGCTCATAAACTGGCTCAATGATTGGTTTAGGGCTTATAGTTGAGGGTCAAATGTTGAATAATGCATAACCATAAGTTCAACACTACCTCAAACATATGATAAACATAATGATTTTGACTTTACAGCTCCAAAGTTAACAGTTCTGAATAATTCATTCTTGTTTGAAAGTGTTTTAACAAAAGTACGTACTCCACTTTTTGCATTTAATCCCTCCCTCAATCCCTTTTTTGCTCCATTGCGCATGTACTGTATTACTGTAAACATTTGATGAACCAAAATTATTGTCTGTGGACGGACATTATTACACAAATGGTGTTGAGAAAACGTAGAATCTATCAACTTTTCTTTAATAGTATACATGAGACAGCCACTCTCAATCCTACATGCAAACCCTGCATGTGTACAGCCTCATCCAGGATGGTTTATTTAGCATTGGCCCACAGGGGGTTTTGGTTTGCTAGCATCGCCCCACCGCCCACACAGTTCTTGCACCGTGCCGTGACCGACCCAAAGCCAGCAGCTTCCCGGCGCTGTAAAACGCTGTGGTTCAGTCCAACCCCGACTCATGTTTCATCGCTCCCTTCTCTCTGCCTGTGCTATTAAACCAGACGGACTGTGTGTAGTGGCATACTTCAGACATTGAAACCATTGTCTCACACTGGAGATTTTATAGATAATATAACAAAGTGTCATGTCAAGTTTAACACCTAATGTTATTTTAGAGCAGAGATTTGTCTCGTGCTTTGCAGTGGGTGCGTGCTGAAATGTTCATCTGAAGGGCTTTAAAGGGGGCATGAACTGCATTGTTTTATCATTGTAAAATGTTTTCCGTGGTGTACTTTTAATATTAGTGTGATTTTTACATCTAAAATTGTCATAAATTAGAAATAATCTGATTTGAATGCTCTGTTTGAAGGGGCATGTCTCTGTGAGACTTAACTGTACACGCCCACTGTTGTGATTGGCTAACATGCATATTAAATATAAACATTTGATCAAATATATAATTTCTTATTAAATAGATAGTATTACATGTGGAACCCTCTCTAAAACCTTTAGCATGTTTTTACTTGGGCTGCACTCGTCGACTAGTAGTTCATTTAAGCCGACTAATTAGTCGACTAATCACGCATTTATATTAATGAATTATAATAATTCCCCTTTAATTGCCTTAGTAAAATACGTATAGTGTAATCAGCGCACAAATTCAAATATAAAGCTTGCCACAGCGCACTGGAAAACGTAATGATTATGAATGTGTTGTGAAAAAAATGTAATAATGTAATAATTTATAGGTAATGTTTTCATATATGAACATTTTATACGGATTTGACATAATCTGAGAATATTTATGTTCATGCAAATGTAAAAATGTCAAGCTATAGATGTATTTCTCATGTCTGTGAGGCGAGTATACGCTTAGTTCTGGTTCATTTACGTTCAAGTTCAAGACCCAATCAACAGAAAGCGCCATTATTTTACAAAAACACCACGTTTTGTGAGTTTACAAAATAAAAGTAGACCCTGTTTGCATAACTCTTATCTGTATGACCAGAGATGTGAGAGAATTTTAAGTTGAATTTAAGTTGAAAGTCATGTTTGACGTCGATAAATGATGGACGAATGTTTAGAGATCTGTCCGTTACAGCCTGCGTGATTTCGCCACTTTTTCGTTGTTGTTTTTTTTTCTTTTTCTGCGACTAATAAAATTTTGGTCAACTAAACCTCTTCTAGTCGACCAACGGCTAATTAATCATGAAAAAAGTATTGATTATAGCATTATATTTAGATCGTGGCATGGTAGGTTACAGTGATCACTAACATGCAGAGCGCATGAACACAGTGATCTTATCTATTTCTGTACTCTCACGAATGCTTTTACCAGAACTAACAGAGTGAACCACGCTGCAAATACAGTAAGAAATTTAATAGTCTAGTGTAGACAGCGTCATTCATTGTAACAGGAGTTGTGGTGAGAGTCCAGATCTCGGTCACTGATAACTCATTGGGAATGTCTGACACCAGTGCATACACACTGTAATAGATGGCAGCCACGATTGCTTGACTGGCGTATCAACAGTAACTTCGCGAAGATCCTACTAAAATAACTAAATGAAGTTGACTATTTAGTCGCTGGTTTGATTTACTGGCACAAACAGCAATAAATATGATTTTGAGATCTGACTGTACATGAATCAAAAATCACTGTACACATAATGGACTGTAATTTGATTTTATATCAGGAATCAGAGGGGTTTCTATGGCGTGAACTTGAGCGGCCTTCATTCTTCTGCGCTGGATGAGTTCTTCAGACAGCCGATAGTCGTGAGTCCATGTTCGGCACATACAGTATATCCAGATGTAAACCTGTCATGAATCTGGGTCTCAGATTACTTTATAATGTTGTCATTATACCTGTGCATTTCAGGACACATTTGATGTGCAGATTCTCATGGCCAGGTCTGTGAAATACACAATCAACTTTCTGGAGGCAAAAGAGGAAGATTTACATCGGTAAAATTGAAAGCATGGACACATTTGACTTATCAGGTTTTAATTTGAAGTCAGTGTGTGAATGTATTTGGTATTTTCAGGGCAATGTGCCAATGATAAGTGCAACCTTTCATGACAATAGATAAAAGTGCCACAATTCCACTTCAGTTTGGTTACTGTGATTGGAAATATGCTTTTCCTGGAGAGAGGTGGTTGATTTCTGGTTAGACAAACTAGAGAATTATGATAATGATAAAGTCAACCCAAGGATACAGCCTTGTCATTTGACATCTTTACCACCAAATTTAGATGTATGCGTTACTGGAGAACAGTTTGGTGTCTTGCAATCATTTTCCACCAGCATGCTTTTGAGATGATTTGTGCAAATTTTGGGACAATCTGTTAAAATCATAAAGATTTGAAAAAATAAGTATGTTTGAGAAAATGTCATTAAAACCTAGAGCATCGTCTCACTATTTGTTGCTTATGTGATTTACAGGTTGGAAATCCCATTTGTCTTCAAACTGCTGCAGTCAGGGCTCATTCATGGACTTGCCTTTTGGTTCGATGTGGCCTTTGTTGGTTCAAGGTGAGAATCTAAAATACGAGAGGAAGTTTCTGAGGATGCTTGAAAGTATTAATAATTGTGTTATTTTCTCCTTTTGTGCAGAATGACAGTATGGCTGTCCACTGCTCCTAATGAACCTTTGACTCACTGGTATCAGGTGCGCTGTCTTCTGCAAACCCCCCTGTTTGCCAAAATGGGACAGACATTATCTGGACAAGTTCATCTAATAGCCAACAGGAGGTACGACTAACCTCGTTTTATGACTAGAGCCCCTTTCAAAAATATAGAATAGAATTGGTGGGAATTATACAGGGGGGAAATGTTACATCACAAATGTTTTATAGTTCAGCATCTTTAAAGTAATCCCCCCTTTTTGTATTTGTTTGTACTAATTTGATATGTTAATGTCTATCTAAACCTTTAGAGACAGGAACGTCCACAACTTGACTATATACAGATTGGTGGTGTATAACTTTGCAACAACTTTTTTTCTAACTGCAAACGTCTTCTTTTATAGACAAAGCTATGACATTCACATCACTGCTGTGGTTGATCAGTCTGGATTTAAATCTGGGAACACACTGGATTTGAAAAATCCTTTTTTCCGGTAAGCACTACGGAAGAAAAGTTAGTCTTAGTCATCCCAATTAAACAGAATTTGGACACTGCTGTCGTAGTTTATTTTGCACAGTTTTATCTGCAAAGTTTTGGTTTCTGAGATGTTCTTGTAATGAGATTACAAGAACATTTTTACATTGACAGCAACACAGTCCAACCCCGTGTGATGACATTGTATGATAAAAAAAATTATGACAACCTGATATTTGCAGCTTTTCCATGTTCATTGTAATTCTGCTAATTAAGATGATGCATTTATGTGCAGTGTTATTATTGTATTTAATAACTACAATTTGGGCTTGTATTTAAGATGAGAAGCCAGGTGTATTGAATATTTAAGTGTGATCTGTCTCTCTTGTCTTTTACAGTTACGCCTGAATCATCACTCTCAAGACTGCAGGTCTATCACTCAACATGCAAAAATAACAAAAAAAGAATGATATTACTGCCCAGATTAAAGTCCACAGATCTGAATCTATGAACCCTTTTGAAAAATCCAGCTTAAGGAATGATGTGGGAGTGCTGGTGTAGCAGCTACACCAGCTCAGTTTAGCTTGAGGACAGCATGAATAAGCAGGTTCACCAGCACTAACCAGCACAAACCAGTCCGGACCAACGTGGAATTCATTCATGCTGGTTATGCTGGATTTTTCAGCAGGGAAGGTTCTGTGTGCATGTGATATCGTGATATGGGATATATGTTAGTAAAACAAGGTGACTGATTGAAATTGCTTTATTTTCATAGCCATCATCTTTAAATAATTAGTTTTACATTAAAAGGATAGTTCACCCAAAATGTAGGCTTTTATTCACTTATAAATGAAAAGTCAAGCTTTTGTTGAGCATATTTGATGAGCTTCATGCATGTGCTTTAATCTTGACATCTATTTCTTGTATGAACATCCAAATATGCTTTCACAGAAATGTGTGAATTAAGTCTGTTTAAAACATTTTCTATTGAAAGACTGAAATTAAATAAAATGGTTTCGGAGAAAATTTTGTTTTAGCTACACCGCTGATCAAACACACTTGAAAAATCTATCCAGAGTCTTCGGAATATTTGAAGATTACATGCGGTTGTGATTTTGCAGACTGATCTCATGAAATGGCGTATGTATGACATGCCAATTCGTGTTTCCATTTTGGCGTGCAATAAAAACTATGTTTACGCAAAAGTCATGATGTCATGGATTTTGGATTAGATTTGGAGCTAAACTCTGCTGGACAGGGTGTTGCCACCCATGGCTCAAAAATAAACTAAAAGGAGAACACAGTAAATGCACTGGTGAAGTCTGCAGTCCAATCTTTAGCTTCTGAAATTTGTGAAAACCAAAAACCTCCTGTTGGTTCTTTCATTTCTCACTTGTCTTTTCATTTAGATGGCTGTGAGTCCCTGTTAAAATCTTGCTTGACACTGGTTTGGGTTCCTCTGGATCCTTCGAAGTGCATGGACTTTAAAGGACACTCATTCAAAGGCCACAAAGGTTGGAACAAGTGTTGTTAAATGGGGCAGTCTAGCCTACGGAGGATTGTTGGCCTTGCAACTGTGACAGCTGCCTTTGATGAGCGGCAGTAACATTGTACTGAACTTCTTTGAAAATTATATTAAACTGTCTGAAAACAAAACAGGGTTCACAAACTGTCTAAATATGTTCACCATGGTCAATTTCTGTATATAAAGAGTATAAACTAAAGTTGTCAAAAGTACCGAATGTGGTACCAAGTCGCTACTGAAATTTAAATAATGTGATGAGACCAGCATTTCTCTCTGACATTTTGAGCGCTTTTGAGTGAATTCTCAAACCCTCTGGTTGGCCACTGTTATGTCTCATATGTCTCATGTTGAGATATAAAACAGTGGTGTAAAGTGTGGGATGCAGTGGTGTAAAGCGTGGGAAGCACTGGTGTGAAGTGTGGGATGCAGTGGTGTGAACTGTGAAGCGTGGGATGCAGTGGTGTGAAGCGTGGGATGCAGTGGTAAAGCATGGGATGCAGTGGTGTAAAGCGTGGGATGCACTGGTGTAAAGCGTGGCATACAGTGGTGTGAAGCGTGTGATGCAGTAATGTAAAGCGTGGGATGCAGTGGTGTAAAGCGTGGGATGCAGTGGTGTAAAGCGTGGGATGCAGTGGTGTAAAGCGTGGCATGCAGTGGTGTGAAGCGTGGGATGCAGTGGTGTGAAGCGTGGGATGCAGTGGTGTAAAGCGTGGCATGCAGTGGTGTGTAGCGTGGGATGCAGTGGTGTAAAGTGTGGGATGCAGTGGTGTGAAGCGTGGGATGCAGTGGTGTGTAGCGTGGGATGCAGTGGTGTAAAGTGTGGGATGCAGTGGTGTGAAGCGTGGGATGCAGTGGTGTGAAGCGTGGGATGCAGTGGTGTAAAGCGTGTGATGCAGTGGTGTGAAGCGTGGGATGCAGTGGTGTGAAGCGTGTGATGCAGTGGTGTGAAGCGTGGGATGCAGGGATGTAAAGTGTGGGATGCAGTGGTGTGAAGCGTGGCATGCAGTGGTGTAAAGTGTGGGATGCAGTGGTGTGAAGCGTGGGATGCAATGATGTAAAGCGTGGGATGCAGTTGTGTAAAGTGTGGGATGCAGTGGTGTGAAGCGTGGGATGCAGTGGTGTAAAGCGTGTGATGCAGTGGTGTGAAGCGTGGGATGCAGTGGTGTAAAGTGTGGGATGCAGTGGTGTGAAGCGTGGGATGCAGTGGTGTAAAGCGTGGCATGCAGTGGTGTAAAGCGTGGGATGCAGTGGTGTGAAGCGTGGGATGCAGTGGTGTAAAGCGTGGGATGCAGTGGGTGGGATGCAGTGGTGTAAAGCGTGGGATGCAGTGGTGTAAAGCGTGGTATGCAGTGGTGTAAAGCGTGGTATGCAGTGGTGTAAAGCGTGTGATGCAGTGGTGTAAAGCGTGGTATGCAGTGGTGTAAAGCGTGTGATGCAGTGGTGTAAAGCGTGGGATGCAGTGGTGTGTAGCGTGGGATGCAGTGGTGTAAAGCGTGGGATGCAGTGGTGTAAAGCGTGGGATGCAGTGGTGTAAAGCGTGGGATGCAGTGGTGTAAAGCGTGGTATGCAGTGGTGTAAAGCGTGGTATGCAGTGGTGTAAAGCGTGGTATGCAGTGGTGTAAAGCGTGGGATGCAGTGGTGTAAAGCGTGGGATGCAGTGGTGTAAAGCGTGGTATGCAGTGGTGTAAAGCGTGGGATGCAGTGGTGTAAAGCGTGTGATGCAGTGGTGTAAAGCGTGGTATGCAGTGGTGTAAAGCGTGTGATGCAGTGGTGTAAAGCATGATATGCAGTGGTGTAAAGCGTGGGATGCAGTGGTGCCACATGGGTCATGTATACTAGGAAGAGTCCTGAAAACCTTCCCTGATAAGAGAGGTCTGGTCCATGTGGTTTGTTTGAAGACCAAGACAAACATCATTGAATGACCCATTACTAAAATATGTTTGCTTAATGAAGCTAACGAGTAATTGGTTCACAGTGGGCTTTATTTTCGGCATTTATGGCTCTTTTGAATTTGGTGTAATTGCTCTGGAAGATGCAATTAGGGGCTGGAGTGTATGAGCCATAATCATTCTGTATTTGTCATTTTGTGCCACTAGGGGACTGTATGTGCTTTGTTGCACAGCTGATCTCGGGTCAGCCCGAGTAAGTCTTTTAACTTGGAGGAAACTCAGACACAGGTGTTGCTGATTAGGAAGGAAACAGTTTTCGACTGTGCCCAGTGTCTTGCCTTTGGGGTAAATAATACGGTTTGTTGTTTGTTACATTTTGAGTTAAGATATTGCCGCTGTATGATATGCAGGGAAATAAATTGCTAGATAACATTACTGAACGCTCCGTCTTTTTTATGTGTAAGATCACACGGCACACGTCTAAACTTAATCTACGGAATGAGCAACCAGTACTAGACTTCGTTTAGGACTAGTGTATGTTCTTGCTAAATTGCTCTCAAATTTAAGATTGTTGTGCAATTTAATAATAATAGTATAATAAGTAGGCTACCCCATAGTTCTATAATACGTATAAATAATTGTTTTAATTCTCCTGGTTGTTAGTTTCCCCAAACTTTACATTTTGTTTCCTTAAACTCATGTAAGTACTTTATAGTTACACTATAATTACCAAAAGGTACACTGTAGCATAACTTTAATAACGTAGTACTTTCCGGGCCGTAATCTAAAGCGTTAACCAAGGACGTAACCATTAGTTAAAACTGAAATAAGTGTGTGTGTGTGTGTTTGAAAGTACAACAATCAAGTTCTGATTTGTGTTTATTAGAGATCAGCAAATAAAATCACCGTATTAGGTATAAATTTGCATAATAGAATGTAATATGAATACTGTAGAGAATGTTTTTTAATGACATGGGTACTACCGTACATGAATTTTACATTTAAAATAAAACATCTATTAAAAGAAACATCAAAACAACGGTCTCAATTTGTTTTTAATAAAACTGCAAAACAGTCATCAGATTTACAGTACAACCTCAATTATTGAGACAGTACATGGATTGCATTAAAAATCCAACATTTTAGAGCAAGCCTCCAAAGCTTTTGTGCAGCCATAAGCAAAACTGCACATTTCAGACTTCCTAACATGACAGCTAGCTGAGACATGATTTAAAAAAAAAAAGATGATTATAAAAATAACATTCCCCTGCACTGTAGCCTGACATTTCATTCCCTTTCTACACATCAGATCCAGTTTGATCCATCAGAAGTATGATCCATTATCTGAAAAGATGTTTCAAACAGGTAGTGACGAACAATAAAGACAGGCAGCATTATTATAACAAACACGGGTCAAGGTTTAATTCAAAATGTCCAATTGTACGACCCGAGTGACAAATACTGAATCAATTAAAAATTAATTGAACTTTTTAGCATGATATTCTGTTGCCATATCAAGTTTCTTCAGCAGAAATAATGCCATAAATCATATCAGAGAAGACTCTCTATAATAAGCTGAAATGCAGGGTTGTGATAATCGTAAACGTCAAATATCCCAATCAAACATGAAAGATAAAATAATAATAATGCCAAATGAATGGTGCGACTAAAAAATAATGCACAGTGAACCTGAAACGGTGAGACTACTCTTCACTTAAAGCATAAAACACGCATTTCATTTAATGAAGCTAATTAATCATTACAACTTGCGACATGAAATGGGAAAGCCCTATTGCACTCTGCTCTGTCATGATTACAAATACATAACAACATAAAAAATATTAAGAAGACAAATCGAACAAACGTGAGTGTAAACCAGATCTGTAAGACTGGCGAAAAGCACAGCTGGTCCTTGAGGAATGATGGCTTGAGGGTTTTGAGAATACTTGTTGGTGTGTTTGTGCGCCCGTTGAGCCGGTGGACATCAAACCCCCAGTCTGTTGGCCTGTGTCAGCACCACCTTCAGGACCGGCATGAAGGCCGACGTCTCGCTGAAGTTGCTGTTGCTCACGATGTGTGTGTGGATGTTGAGCCCATCGGTGTAGCAGCGGCACTCGATGCTGCGCGCCATATTGTGAAGACCGCCGACGATAGCTGGAGACAGCTGGAGAGAAGAAACCGCCGAAAAGTGAGTGGCTCAGACAACAAAGTGGAAAATCACTGTGCGAATTACAATATATGGAGCAATGGTGGTAAAAAAGTATTTTGAGGCTTTAAATAAAACTGTTACTCACTGTTTGTTCTCTCAGCTTGTCATAGAGATACTCAAGTCTCTTATGAGCATCATCCAACTTCCTCTTGGTTTGCTGTGAGGATGAAGGGGAAAAACCTGGTTATTAATAATGCTGGGGAATGTGAAATCAGACAGACAGAAAAAAATTAAATAGGCAAACAAACATTATTATTATTATGTTTGATAACTTCCTAAGCTGTTTTTCTCAAACCTGTGGTGCTCTTCGTGTGTTGGTCAAACATGACAGATTTTTGTATTTCCTTTTTGTCATTGTTGGTATGTTTTAGCTTACCTCAAGGGCATCCAAGATGTAGGTGTCTTTGTTTCCACAGTATTTTCAATTTTGACATTTTTTCAGTCAAACCGTTGTTGTTGTCTATCAGTCACACACTGGAGGCGAAGGGGGTCCACCAAAAAGCATGCACAGAGAAGTCAAAATTAAACATGATTTAATGACTCGTAAATGTAAGTACACATTGATGGCCTAAGACACGAAACGAGCGGTTTGTGTGAGAAAACGAACTGTATTTATATCGTTTTTACCTCTTGTAATCATAGCCATGACAAAATGATCTGACGGCACGGGCGCGTCGGTCTGCGCATGCACCGGAAGTGATCGCCTACGTCACTCTTTGTTTATACAGAGATTTCGGAAGTTTTACCTTTCACTAAACATATTTAGATATACGGGAAACCTCAATGGAAGACGATTTCGTTATATCTAAATATGTTTAGTAAAAGATAAAACTTCCGAAATCTCCGTGTAAATATTGAGTGACGTCACACGCAAGCGATCATTTCCGGCGTAACATTGAACTGATTCAGTTCGGTTCAGTTGGACATTGCACAACTGATTCAGATCACTTGGACGTCACTGTGATTACACGAGGTAAAAACGATATAAATACTGTTCGTTTTCTCACACAAACCGCTCGTTTCGTGTCTTAGG